GGATCTCCAGACGCCGAGAGCAGCGCCCGCTGTGCGCTCCGCCTGACCCGAGCGCCGCTCCTACCTGTAGAGCCGGGCGGGCGCCCCATCCTCGGGCACCTATTCCTTCTCTTCCTCCGGAAACCTCCCGTCCAGCTACCCGCGTCCCGGACAGATGTGTCGCCAAGACCCCAGGGAAAGGCGCCAGGCTCCAAGCTGGTGACACGTAGACGCACCCCGGTCCAGCCTCGGAACCTGGGCGCCCTTCTACCCGGAAAGTTTGGGGCTGGGCGCCATGGCCAAGATCAGCTCCCTGAACGTCCGCGTGGTGGAGGGCCGGGCGCTGCCCGCCAAGGACGTGTGAGTGTTCCTGGGGCGCCTCGGGGGTGGGGGCCGCGCCGGGCACGCGGCGGGGCTGGAGGCACCCGCTCCGCGCGCCAGTGTGGGTCGCAGGAGGGAGGGAGGTCTCGCCTAAGACCGACATTGGGGCAGGTCCCCTTTCACCGGGCCAGAGGCCCCTATGCTCATTGCCGTCCTGGTGGGAGGGGGCGCCCACACTTAGCAGATGCCCCGCCCCGGCCCCGGGCAGGGGGTGTCTTTGTTCCCTGGATGTACTAAAGGGGGTCTTGGGGGGTAAAGAAGGGATTGGAGGGTCAGAGCCGCGGAGGGGTTCTGGGGACTCTTCCTTAGTGCAGGCGCGTTGGAGGGGAGGCTTCTCCGGGCCCGGGTGGGAATCTAGGAAGGGAACCCCGGGGAGGAGCCCCAGAGAGCCTGGGATCCGGATGGGCCCCAACATTCTGTGCGCATCTGGTGTTTAGGTTTGCAGAGTGTCACCAGGTGGCCCTCTGCGGTCCTTTCCACCCAGATCCCTGAGCTCCCCCGTCTTGCAGCTCCCAGCCTCGTGCGGGCCTTCCCCGGATGCTGAGCTGCGTGAAGAGCCAGCTCCCCGCTGCAGCCCCCTCCCCAGCCAGGTGTGGTGGGACTGGGGGACCCTTGGGCTCCCCTCACTACCAGCCCCTGGCTATACTTCTCCCAGGACTGAGTCAGCAGTTGCTGAATCAGCAGAATGGGGGGTGTCCCCCTCCTGCTTGGCCTGGTGCCCAGAAGGGACTCTGAGGGTGTCAGTACCTGGGACAGGTGTGAGATCCTTGGGAGGACATCTGCTGTGTGACCTTGAACCTGCTTCTCCCTGGGCCTTGGTTTCCCATCTGGGCCATGGAGCTCCGGGCGGTGTCGCCGTCTGGATCCCTGCGGTCACACGTCCAGCTGGGAGGGTGGAGGACGTGTCAGGATTTACCCTGTGGCCACGGGGAGAAGGAACGTGGAGCCCCCACCTGTGTCGAGGCCGGGGCTTAGCCATGTGCCAACTCTGCACGCGCGAGCACCCTGCGAGGACAATCCTGCCCTCGGTTTCGTGAACGCCCCTTCCCAACACTGCAGCTGTGTCAAGCGGGGAGCCGTTTAGGGCAGTTTTAGCTGCCCCCCCCAATCCTCATCAGCTACCCCAAATAAACATGCACCCGAAATAAAAGCGGAGAGCTTGCTGTGCAAACACAGCGACGAGCCCCCTGCCACCTTCTTCCTGAGATGTCCCCAGAGCCCCTGAGGACTAGAGATTCTGCAGCTGTCAGGGAAACGCGGGCGGGGTGCGGGCCTGGCAGCTGGATGGCTGAAGGGGCCCTTTCCAGAAACTGGTTCCTGTCTCACTGAGCTCTGGCCCCTCCACCAGTTCTGGATGAGGGGTCAGAGAGGGTGGCAGGCGTCACCCTGGGCTTGGACACTGGCTCACGGGGTTCCTTCTGCTTCTCCTGAGAAGGGAGTTGGGTGATACCTCATTCCTACTCCTCCTGTCCCCAGTTCCTGGGCCAGGGTGAGCTAGGAGGCGGGCCACGCCCCAGAGCAATGGTGGGGAGGAGTCACTAAGCCCCCGCTGGGGATCCAGCCTTCCTGCCTCAGTTTCCCCAGTTGTTGGCACCCTTCTTCAAAGGTGCTCTTCTTAGAGCATGCCGGGATCTCCGTGCCTATGAGGGCTCCTAGGTGGGGTGTGTTCTCGCTCCCTCTGCTAAGGGAAAGGGCTCAGACATGGCCCAAACCACTGCCAGGTTTGAGAGGGGTCGGGAGGAGGCCTCCGCAGATAGTTTAGAGTCATTACTATTATTAATAATAGCAGCCGTCAGTCACTGAGGGCTTGGTAGGGACCAGGTTCTGTGCTTAACTCTTCATATGGTCCCTATTGGCATCTTCACTTTACGAATGAGAAAACTGAGGACCAGAGAGGCAAAGTCACTTGCCTGAGGTCACGCAGGTAGGATTTGAACCCTGTTTCCATGCACAAACCAGACTACGCAGGCGATGGCTGTTTTGGGGGTGCTGCTTTCCCAGGCTTGAGCTGAGGCAGGGGCCGTGGGAGAGGCCAAGAGTCTAGAGAGATCAAGGTCTGGAAGGGGCCACCCCCTCCCGCCACCATTGCCCCTACCTGATAGGTGCCTGATAAGGCCCTCGTGCGTCAGAGCCCTGAGCTGACGAGTGCCGAGCTCAGCTCCCAGGGGGGCCCTGGGGGTCAGGCTGGGTGGACAGGAGGGGGCGTGTCTCCCAGCCCTTTGCTAGTGGGATCCCAGCCAATCTGACCCCACCTCTGCAGCTGGGGAAACTGAGGAATGGGGGCCCTCCTAAAGGAAGCTCAGGGGTAGAGAGCACAGAGGGAGAAATTGAGATACACACAGGGCATTACCCAGCCACAGGTGTTCAAGGATGGGGCCCAGAGAGGGAGACTGAGGCTCCTGGGGTTGCCCAGTCCAGGGGGTTTGGGGTGGAGCCAGAATGGGAAACTGAGGCCTGGGGCACTACGCAGACATGGGTTCAGAGGCGGAGCCCAGAGGGGAACACAGAGACACGGGCTATCTCTTGGTCTGAAGTGCTCGGGGATGGAAACCAGATAGGGAAATGGAGGCATCTGAGCACCAGCCAGACAGGGCTATGGGAAGGAGTCCAGAGAGGGAAACTGAGGCACGAGGAAGGGCTCATCCAGCCAGACGAGGCTCAGGTTGGAGCTGACTCTTAGTGCCAACATCCCTCTTCCCTGGAATCCCTCAGGCATTTGTGGATCTGTGACAAACCGAACAGAGAGCAGGTGGCAGAGAGAGAGAGTGGCAGCTGGGTGTCGAGGGACAGGGCCATTTAGACGGGGGTGGGGGGGACTGGTTAAGAGTGCGTGTCTGTGAGCCCCTAAGCCACCACTCCTCCCTGCCTCGGAGAAGGCACCCCACAAACCCACTCATTCAGAAATATCTCCGGAGGCCCCCCTGCATGCCAGGTGGGGGGCTTGGAGGGAGGAGGAGGACGCAGACTCTCCCCCAAGGAGCTCACAGTTCAGAAGTTGCAGGGAGGTGGGGAGACAGATACTCAACACATCGAGAAATCGGGGAGCAAGGTGATTTTAGGTGCTTAGAGGTGTTGGAGGGTTATTTGAGACAGGACAGTGGTAGTCAGGAGTGGCGTCTTTGAGGAGATGACTTTTGGACTGAGATTTGAAGGACAGGAAGAAGCCAGCCATGACAGGATCAGGAACAGTGTCTTAGGCAGAGGGAACAGCACATGCAAAGGCCCTAGGGCTGGCAAGAGCTTGATGAGAGACAAAGGAGGCCTGTGCGATGGGATGGAGGAGGAACTGAGGAGCCCTGCTAGACTGCTTGGGGTGTAGTGGTGACTGTTATTAGGAGCGGGGGATGGAGCTGGCTTTGGTTGGCCAATGGCTCATGGCTACTCAAGGGGGTGCAGCCCATCTTTTCTTGGCTCAGTTTTGAGATCTGGGTCCCCCGGTGTGTTCCTGCAGGGAAGAGTCTGCTGAGGAATGGGGAGTCCCCTCCCTAGGGAAACCCCCACTGAAATGCAAAGTTGGGGAGCAGTGCTTACCCCAGAGGGTGGCATCGGGGAGAGCTCCAGGCTCCATCTACCATGTACTATTAGTTCCTCCAACCCCAGGAGGTATGTGTTAATATTATGCCCAATTTATAGAGCAGGGAAACCGAGGTCCTGCAAGGGGAGGGGACTTGTCCAGGTTGCACAGCCAGTGGGTGGTGAAGCAGGCGTTGAACACGCCCCAGCACACGCTCTCGACCACAGCTTTGGGCTTTCCGGGCCAGGCCTCACGCCTCCCTTCCCCATCCCCATGGGTGCAAGCCCAGAGTGCGCACAGGTGGTGGGTCAGGCATGCCTTGGGTGGGCACCTGGGCAGCCGTGACGACGCCCGCTGGCCCCCTGAAGTGCTGCCTCTTAGCTGGACTTGCTGTGTGACCCTGGGCAAGTCTCCTCCCCTCTCTGGGCCACAGTTTCCCCTATCTGTATAATCAAGGTGGATCGGGACCCCACCCCAACGGCTGCCCTCCCAACCCAGTTCCTCCCCGACCCTCCTCCTTCCGCAGGTCTGGGAGCAGTGACCCCTACTGCCTGGTGAAGGTGGACGACGAGGTGGTGGCCAGGTGAGGAGTGGAGACGCCAGGCCTGGGGCCAGGGGAGAAGGGGAGGGGCTCTTTCTAGACCCGGGGAGTCCAGGAACAAGAATTCACACTGAGAGGAGCAGGGAGGGCGACGCTTACCCGACAGGGGACAATGGATGCGCCCTCCCCCTCTCGACCCAATGATGTCCCTGTGGCTCCCTGGGGCTGACTCAGTGCTGCCAGCCTGTGCCTCCCACAGTGGCCTCCCTGGGGGCGGGCATCTCACGCTCGGCTGGACTGGCTGGTTCCGGGGCCGCCGGGTGCATGCGTGCGTGCGTGTGTCTGTGTGTGTGTGTGCCCGCCCAGCTGGGGCTGCTTGGGAGTGTGCGGGGGGTGTGTGTGCGCTGCAGGGCTAGCGTGAACGCCTGTGACCACCTGTGCATGTCACACGTGTGTACCAGTGTGGTGTGTGTGTACGTGCTTGTACACACGGCTGCCCTGTCCACACACGTGAGCACCAACACCTGCCTATTTGAGCACACAGGCGCCGGTGCAAACACATGTGAGGTGTGAGTGAATCTTGGAGGGGGGGCTCAGGCTGGGCTGTGCTTGGCTGTCAACCCCGCAGGCCAAGGGACAGCTCTCAGCCCCCGCAGGTCTGACGGGGCGGGTGGGCGGGTGGCTGAGGCCCTGGTTCCTATGGAAACGGCGGGATTCAGGATGCTTCTGGCGCTGGTTCTGGTCCAGAGGGACCGGGTGCTGGGGGCGGGGAGCCTGTATGGGGGAGGGGCCGGCTGCAGCACCCTGACCTGCTCCCTTGTTCTCCCTGTACTCAGGCTGTCCCCTTGCCACATTCTGTGACACCACCGCAAACCCACAGACTGATGTTCCGTGGGACCCCAGGCACTGCCTCTCCCTCTCTGGGCTGCGAGGAGCCTTCCGGCTCCGGGGCTGGGGAGCCTGGGGGAGCTCTAGCTGGGAAAAGCCAGGGGTGGAGGCAAGAGTGTGTTTGGGAGGAAGCTCTGAGGGTCCACCTGATGGCGGTGCCCCTGAGCTGGGGGAAGGGGACACGGTGCGTGTGCACATGTGCATGTGTATGCCCTGTTGGGGGAGAGTGTGGCGGAAGGAATGAGGAAGGGAGCAAGAACCCAATTTTGCAGCCATAAATTTGGGCGTGTCTTCACTGGGCTAAGTAGTTTCTTTGTTCCCTGCTGGGTAAAGGAAGTGCGTCTGCAGGGGTATCGGGGCAGAGATGCTGTGTCTGGGTGTCTGTCTCTGGTCTTGTCTTGGTCCCTACCCCTCCTGTGCTCCCCTGCCCTGGCTTATGTGCTGTGAAGCCCGACCCCTCTGGCCCCTCCCCTCCCCACTTTCCCACCAGACACCTTCCTGTTCCTTGAACTCGCCAAACACATCCCTGCCACAGGGCCTTTGCACGTGCTGTTCCAGCCTTCTGCAAGACTTGTCCTCATTGTCTCTCTCCTCTTTGCCATGTGTGTATTTTGACCAGAGGAAGCCTTCCCTGACTCCCTTATCTCTATCTCCCAGACCCAACCAGGGTCTTGTGTTTCTGATGGGTACATACCCAGGTTCTAGGTGTGTGTGCGTGTGGAGTGCCTGTCCAGGCCCCAGCTGTGTTTATGTGTGGGTGTCTGAGTCTGTGTGTCGGGATCCCTGTGTGTGTGTCTGGGTCCCCAGGTGTCTGCCACCTGTGCAGCCTGAGGGCCCCCAGCCCCCTGCCCCCACTTTTGCAGGACAGCGACCGTCTGGCGCAGCCTGAGCCCCTTCTGGGGGGAGGAGTACACCGTGCACCTGCCTCTGGATTTCCACCATCTGGCCTTCTACGTGCTGGACGAGGACACCGTTGGGTGTGTGGCTGGGGCAGGTGGGGTGTGTGCGTTGGGGCCCCAGGCCTGGGCACCTGAGGGCAGGTGGGACATGGGGTGACGCCCCACAGCAAAAAGTGCCCACCCACCCAGCCCTTGACACTTTCCCCCACTTCTCTACGGGCGGGGCAGGGGTCCCTGACTCGGACCCTCCCCTGCCGGCCTTTCCGCAGGCACGACGACGTCATCGGCAAGATCTCGCTGAGCAGGGAGGCGATTGCAGCCGATCCCCGAGGTGGGCCAGGGGCACCGGCCACAGCTGGGCAGAGGGCGGGGGGCGCTGTGCCCAGAGTGGGCATTTGCAGTGGCATAGAGCAAGCGGCACAGGGAGGCGCAGAGCCCTCAGTAGAGCGTTATTTCTGTTGTTTTTGCCTTGAATTTTTGAGCAGTTAATGCATTTGCCTAGTTCAACATTCAGATTTTACGATGAGCAGTGAAACTCTCTCGCACGACTGCCCTATTCCTTTCTTGCATGTCCTTTTAGAGACAGTTTAAACATACACAAGCAAGTAACCACAGTAATAGCAACACTTAGATAGTGCTTACCGTGCACTGAGCACGCTCTAAGTGCTTTGCACGGATCAACTCGGTTATCATAGTGACCCTGTGAGGTGGGTCTTCTCCTTATGCCCGCTTTCTAGGTGAATAAATGGGGACACAGAGGGTTAAATGACTTGCCGAAGATCTCAAAGTTATTAAGCAAAATGGCCAGAATTTGAATCAAGGTTGTCTAAAGTTCCAGAGTCTGTGTTCTTCATACTGTACTATCTGTGGTTGTTTTTCCTCTGCTTACTTGAATATTATCTATTCTGTGACATTCAGTATCTTGTGTTCAGCATCTTGCCTTTCCATTCATCATGCACCTTCGAGATCTTTCTGTAACAGCGCTCCAAGAGTTTCCGCATTCCTTGCTCTTTGTGTGACTTCGTGGCACACCACGGTGTGGCCGTACGATTGTTTATTTGGCTGATTCCGTCTTGATGGCATGTGGGTTATGCGCAGTTTTTGCCAAGTTCAAACAATGCTGCAGTGAGTAGCCTTCTGCAAAGGTGACTTCACACGTGTGCAAGTTGTATCCGTCAGTCAGATACATTCCTAGAGATTTGCTGGATTTGCTGGATCGAAGAGTGTGCGCGTTTGCATGTTGGATAGTTATTGCCGGGCTGGGCACAGTGGCTCACGACTGTAAGCCTAGCACTTTGGGAAGCTGATGTGGGAGGATCGTTTGAGGCCTGGAGTTCAAGACCGGCCTGGGCAACATAGGGGGACCCTGTTTCTACAAATAAAGATTAAAAAATTAGCAGGGTGTGGTGGCGCGTGCCTGTAGTCCTAGCTATTCAGGAGGCTGAGGTGGAAGAATCATTTGAGCCCAGGAGTTCGAGGTTACAGTGAGCTATGATTGTGCCACTGCACTCTAGCCTAGGTGACAGAGCGAGACTCAGTCTCCAAAAAAAAGAAAGAAAGAAGAAAAAAGAAAGACAATTATTACAAAATTACCCTCCATGGAGGAGGTAACAATTTACTCCACACCCTTGCAAACAATTATCAAACTTCTTGATCTTGTATCTGATAGGTAAAAAATTGGTTCTTAGTGTAGGTTTATTTTGCATTTCTCTATGAGGGATATTGAAAACCTTTTTATATATAGTATTTAAGAATCACTTTATTTCCTCTTCTGTTTATTGTCCATTCATATTATACATGCATTTTCCTCCACTGAGTTGCCTTTTCTTATTGATTTGTAGGAGCTTTTTACATATTAGGGAAATCAACTCTTTGTCATATTAGCTGTAAATATTTTTTCTTCCTTTGTCTCTTATATTTTGACTTTGCTTATAATTTTTCCATGTATAAATTTGTTTTTCTGTAGTCAACCTCATATATTTCTTTTGGCTCTGGATTTTCTATTATACATAAAAAGACCTTCTCAACTCTAAGACAAAAAAATTTACATAATTCCTTCTAGCAATAATCTGTTGCATTTTTTAACACTTAAGTCTTTATTTGGAATTTATCCAGATATAAAGTATTACTTTTTGTCTAAATGACTATTAATTGTCTCAATACCACTCATTGGATAATTTATTATTTTCCTCAGTTGGAATTAGTTGAGAACCTACTATGTGCTAATCATCATTACAATCATTGCCCCTATTTAATGAGGGCTTACTATATGCCGGGCATGAAGCTAAGCACTTTACATGTAGTTCTCACAACATGCCAGTGAGGTATGTACTAGAATGATCTTCAATTTTTACAGAGGCTTGGAGAGGTGAGGGGACTTGCCCCTTTGTAGAAGTTGCAGAGGTGAGAGTCGAACCCAAAGTCTGTGTTTTTATTCTGCGCACTGAGCTGTACCTATCGTGCCTCAAACATCTACCACAGGGTGGAATTAAATGAATCAAGTATGAGGTCTGGCTTCCAGGAGCTTATGGACTAGACAGGAAAACAAAACACATTGGCACAGAACAGAGGGCAAGAGAAGAATGAAAGTGTCCATGTGTCTGCATGTGGGTGCTTCTTAGTTCCTTAAACAGGACAGAAATGCGGAGGTGGAGGTCGGTGGAATATCACTGGCAGGACAGTAGATGATAAGAGAGGGTAGTGAGGGCTAGTGTGGTCAAAGGAAGCTTTGCAGAGGAAGAGGAATGAGGTGCTCTGGCAAAGATGCTAAGGTGCATTTCTATGTATCCTCTTCCAGAGTCACACATAGGCCAGGTCAGAGGGAACACTTGGTGGGGGTTAATTGGACAGGGCTGTAGGTGCCAGGCCAGAGTCAGACTGTAGATGGTCTTCTGGAGGCAATAGGGAGCCACTGATGGGTCTTCTTGAGCAAGACAGTGAAGAGAAGGGGCCATGTTATCAGAAGATGGAGTGATAGGAAAGATTGGGTGCATTTCCGGAAGATCCCTGTGGCTGCTTTGTGGATGCCGGATCACAGCGGGACAAGAGTCAGTGCAGGAGATCTGTTAGGAATCAACTGCAGTGATCCAGTGAGAGAAAACTGACAGCATCCTGGACTAGGGGTAGCAGCGAGGATAGACATGAGACGGGACTTACACTTTCAGCAGCACGCGGGGACTAGATCCTCAGAAGTGCCCTCCTGCCACATAACAGTGAGATCCTGAATAAAACGGGATCCCTAATTCCTTGTTAGACTTGCTGTAAAGAAGGGAAGTCCCTCAGTATTTGCCTCACCCCAGATCACGAGCTAAAACCTCACAGGGAGCGGTGAACAAGCACAGGGATGATGAAGGATTTCCCTGAAAGCAAACGTCAACATCAGTTCTGCAGCCGACAAAGAGAATAAAACTTGGGCGAGGGGCAAGGTGGATATCACGGGACATGAGAATTCCCCATTAGGATGAGACCCTCAGAGAGTCCTACAATAGCAACTGCCGCTCCTCTCCAAGGATAAGCATTCTTACTCGGGTTTCCCACAGAGTGAGAGCAAACAAACATGACTTCACAGTCAAAAATCACCAAACGCACAAGGAAATGGGACACCATGAGCGATAGTTAGCAGAATCAACAGCCAGCAGATTTAGACCTGCGAAGACTTTAGATTTATGATATATAGGATTAAAAAAAAAGGATCCAATATTTAAAGAAATAAAAAATGAAGTCACAAAAACAGCCAGCAATGACAGCAATAAATTAGAGTAATACATCAAAAAATAAATAGGCAGGTTTTTTAAAAGAACCAAATACAACGTTTCAAGATAAGTAGAATTGTTGAACTTAAACACGAAGTGGCTGAGTTAAACATCAGTTCATTCATAGTTGAAGTGAGACTTAGTGAACTGGAAGAATGATCTAGAGAAATTATTCAGAATTCATCTCAGAGAAAAAAGGAGAAGGAAAATATAAAAGAGAAGTTCAGAGACATGGAAAATAACTGTGAAAGTCTAACATCCATTTAATTGGAGTCCCAGAAGAATGGAAAAAACTGGGGAGAGGAAATAATAAAAAAAAAAAGATTGGGGAGAGAAAATAATAACAAATATTCATGGCCTAGAATTTTCCAGAACTGAAAGAAGGACAGGATACTATAAATAGAAGAATCTTCACAATCTTCACTAAGCAGGATTTTAAAATTCCTTATCTAGGCTCATTGTGGTGAAACTACAGAACATCAAAGATACAGTCCTCAGAATTAGAGAGAAAAGATAGACCACTTACGAAAGAATAATTATTAGGCTGAAAGCTGATTTCCCAAGGGCTACAAGGGAAGCAATGTCTTCAAATGTTGAAGGAAATGAGAGAGAGGGAGACCTGAGATTTTTCGAGGGAGGTGTATGTTGGGACTAAACAATGGCGGTGTTTCTGTGCCAGGGTGAAGGGGTGACAGCACGTGACTCAGAGCATTGGCCCTAGAACTCCACTGCCTGCTCTCAAATTCTAGCTGTGCTGTCTACCAGCTGTGGCATCGTGGGCAAAGCTCTTTTTCCCTGAGCTTCATTTTCCTCATCTGAAAATGGGGATAATTACAGCACCAACATCAGAAGTCCAAGGCACTCCTTGACACGCGTTTAATGTCAATCGAATTTTCAAGTTAACACGATGACCAGTAGATGCTTCGTAAATGTTAGCGCCTGTGCCCTCCAGGGATCGACAGCTGGATCAATCTGAGCCGCGTGGACCCGGATGCGGAGGTGCAGGGCGAGATCTGCCTGTCGGTGCAGATGCTGGAGGATGCACGGGGCCGCTGCCTTCGCTGCCACGTGCTCCAGGCTAGGTATGGACAAGGCGGAGGTGGCGTGGAGAGGGTGGTCTGAGAAGGAGCGGGAATCCCCTGGGGGTCCCTCCTGCTGCTTGGCCTCTGGGACCTCCTCGCTCCTGGGGGACTTCTGGGCTGGCAGCCACGTTCCTGGTGTGGACGAACAGTCCAAGTTCACTGAGTTGCAAGTTCCTGGGTGCAAAATCCTGTTAGGTTCCTGCGACCAGCAACAGCAGGGCAGACACTCAGGCTGGCCAGACAGATGAGCGTGGAGGTGTAGTAACCAAATCGTAACTGACAGATACGCGATTCCTACTGGCTGAAGCAGAAGAGCTAGTTTATTGGCTCATATGACTGGCATGTAGCTTCAGGCGTGGCTGGATCCAGGTGCTCCGATGGTGACATCAGGAATCTGCCTCTATCTTTTGGCTCTGATGTCCTCTGTGTTAGCTTCATTCTTAGGCAGCCTCTCCCCAGGTGGGTACAAAGACGGCCCTAGCAGCCCCAGGCTGGCATCCTATCAACATAGCCACTCCAACTGAAAAAGAGCTCCTATTTCTCACCATTTGCAACCAACGTCCAGGATTAATTCTTACTGGCTCAGTCTGGGGGACATGCTTGTCTCTGAACCAATGACACTGACTGATTGGCTAGGCCTGAGTCACAGCCCCTTCCTGGAGTGGAGGGAGGGATTGACCCCCCCAAGTCATGTGGAATGGGACTGAGGGAGGGGTGGGTCCTGTCCCAAAGAAAATCAGAAGGAAGACGGATGCAAGACCAGAAAAACCCACTGGTGGCCCTCTCACCAGCTCATGGGACACCCATCTGCCCTCTTACCTACTTGTCACTATAATCCCCTTCTCCCTTGCTCAGCTCACCATCATTTTGCTCCCGCAAATACCTCCGCCCTCTCCCCCATCCTGTCTTTCTGCCTTTTTTCACACCTCACTCCCCCAACCCTTACTTTTAGGCCCATTCTTGCCCAGATTGAGGAGGATCTCCTATTTCTAGCTTGCTGTGTGATCATAAAGCCCTGCCTTGCCCTCTCTGGGCCTCTCCCACCACCTCCAGATTTTTGCCCCCAGCCTTGGTGCCAGAGGGGGCTCCCCAGAATTTGGATGAGGGAGGACCAAGGAGGCAGGGGACAGGCTGAAGGACTGAGCGTGGGGCAGGGGCTCCCTGTTTTCTTGGTGCCCACGGCCCCCTCCCCAGCCACAAGGCTGCGCAGGATCCTTGCAGGCATGAGAGGGACCGATGCTGTCGCTTAGCAACTGGGCTGGCTCCTAGGAAACCAAAGAAGGCTTTGGATGCTGAGCAGGGAGGGGAAGGGAGCAGGAGGAGGAAGCAGGCAGCCCCCGGTGGGGGTGGGGTTGGGGTGCATTCCTAGATTTGGGGACCTCAGGAAGGAGGGATGGAGAAGCTGACTGGGGTAAGGCTTTTGGTTGTCATGGCAACCAGAGGCAGGGGGGCCCTGCCTCGTGCCTTCTCTTGGGTCCTAGACAGAGTGTGGGCATAAGTGTTTGCTGAATGAATACATGAACTGGGCACCATCACCTGCCAGGTGCTGTGCTAGGTGCTTTACACACATTTAACCCTTGGCCTTGTCAGGTTGGTCTATTATTACTCCCATTTTCGAGATGAGGAAACTAAGGCTCAGAGAGGTGAAGTGACTTTTCCTAGTGTCACCCAGCCAATGAGTGCAGAGCCGGGCTTTGAATCTTTGCATCTAGTCTCTGATCGAGGGCCTCCAGGGAAACTGAGGCTCCCTTCCCCCTCCACACTGCACCTTCACTTGTGGGGCTTTTTGATGCAGGATTTGATCTTTCTGTGCCTCAGTTTCCTCATCTGGAAAGTGGGGGCATACGAATGCCTCGTCATAGGGCAGTGTGAGGTGACAGGCGTGGTGAGGGGTGCCCCTTGCTGGGTCCCTGTGGTAGAACATTTCGTTGTCTTGGAAACCAGCGGCATTTGAATGATCTACCCTGAATCCCCTTTCCAAGGGCCTTGGTCCTTGAGGGTCCTGTGTCCTCTCACTCCTTTCCTCCTCTGTCCCCAGGGACCTGGCCCCCCGAGACATCTCCGGCACATCTGACCCATTCGCACGTGTGTTTTGGGGCAGCCAGAGCTTGGAGACCTCGGTGAGCGGTGGGCGGGGGGCTAGGAAGGGGGGGCACCGGCGGTGGCTCTCTCGCTCACAGACCCCTTCCCTGCCCTCAGACCATCAAGAAGACGCGCTTCCCACACTGGGATGAGGTGCTGGAGCTGCGGGAGGTGCCCGGTGCCCCGTCCCCACTGCGGGTGGAGCTCTGGGACTGGGACATGGTGGGCAAGAACGACTTCCTGGGCATGGTGAGCCTCACTCCCTGCAACACCATCTGTGGCTCCCCAGTGCCTCCAAAGGAGGAGGAAGACGAGATGGGCTGAGCCTCCTGGGGCTCAGAAGGGCAGATGTGCAGGCTGCATCAGGTTCCCTGGCCAGGCCTGGGTGATGGCATGCCATTGCCCCATTGTACAGGGCAGGAAACTGAGGCTCTCAAAGGTATGGGAACCTACCCTAGATCACAAGATGGGCTTAGATTCTCACTCTGGGGTGAGCGTGTGCCAATGACTGTTTGCTGGCCCTCGCTAAGTGTCCCTCCAGCCAAGCCTCATTTACCTAGCCCTCACGGCCACCCTGTGAGGCTGGGACTGTTGTCATCCCCATTTTACAGATGGGAAAACTGACACTCAGAGAGGTTAAGTGGCTTTCTCAGGTCATGTGACTAAGAAATAGCAGAGCCAGGATTCGAGTTCAGGTCTCTCTGACTCCAGAACCTAACCCTTTAACTCCTACTCCTGGAAGCTCTGGGCTCAGGGTCTTTCCCTTGGTTTCCCCATCTGTAAAATGGGTGTGATTGTTCCTGCCTCTCCGTGGGAGTTGAAAGTGGCTGAGACTTTTTCAAAGGAGGCAGGAAAAGAGTAAATAAGAGAGAGGCTTGGTTAGGTACTGCGGGCAGTGAGATAAATCATGCAGCCGCTTTGGAAACAGTCTGACCATTCCTCAAACGGTTGAACGGAGTTACCACGTGACCCAGCAATTCTACTCCTAGGTATGTACCCAACAGACATGGAAACCTATGTCCGCCCTGAAACTTTGATGGCAGCATTCATAGCAGCAGGAGTCATCACAGCCCAAAGTGGAAACAACCCAACGTCTGTAACGGATAAACAGAATGGGACCCATCGATACGATGGAATATTATTCAGCCGTAAATAGGAGTGCAGTTCAGGAAGTCCTCACTTAATGTCGTCTGTAGGTTCTCGGAAACCGTGACTTTAAGCAAAATATGCTCTGATACCGTATGCTGCAGGAACTCAACTCTCGTTCCTGTCCATTAGCCTACGGTAAATTGGTTTCCTTGTATGTCCTTAGTGAAGACGTACCGTACCGTCACATGCTACAACGTGGACGAATCATGAAAACGTCATGCTAAGTGAAAGAAGCCAGTCCCCGCAAACTCACATTATATGATGCCATCATATATGATTTATATGACGCGTCTAGAACAGGCAAACCCATAGACACGGAAAGTAGATTAGTGGTCGGCTGGTGGTGGGGGTGGGGACAGGGAGTGACTGCTGAGTACAGGCCTTTTAGGGGCAGATAGACGATGCTCTGCAACGAGCGGCACATTGAGTTGTATGCTTCCAATAGGTGAATCGTATGGGATGTGAATTATACCTCTATAGAGTTATTTTAAAAGAGAGGGTGGGGCGCAGGGGCCTTCTGGACTGTCTTTAAGCCTTTCGATACATGGAATTTAGGTTCCCTAATAGAGCTGAAAGTACACTCAGGCCAGGCATGCTGTCTCCAGAAGCTGTGTGACCTTGGGCAAGTCACTCCACCTCTCTGAGCCTCAGTTTCCTCAACTGTAAATGAAGTGCTCCCTGGAGGCCCTCAGTGCCCTGGCAGGAGCTGATGATTTGGGGCGGGCTGGGGGAGGAGGAGGTGGTCCCCAATAGGCCACAGTGCCCCTCCATGGATGGGCAGTCTGAGCTCTTCTTCCAGGGCTGGGTGGGGCTGAGCCTGGCAGGGCAGGGCCCAGCTGAGGTCTGTGTGTCCCCCCGCAGGTGGAGTTCTCCCCGAAGACCCTGCAGCACAAGCCGCCCAGTGGCTGGTTCCGCCTCCTGCCCTTTCCCGGAGCCGAGGAGGATTCTGGGTGAATGTGGGTGCGGAGGGAGGGGCCAGGCTGGAGCCCTGTCGGGTGCCATCCTCAGCTTGTGGGTGGGTCCTCACGGGTGCCCCTTCATGCATTCGCGCATGCCTCCATCCGTTCAATCAACACGTGTGAATGTCTCTCAGGGCGTGTTCGCGCACATCCAACCGAGTTCGCCTCATGCCCCTCCACCTGCTCACATGCAAACGTGTCAGCTCACACTCGACGTGTGCTCGGCATTTTGGGTCCTTCCACGCCTACCTGTACCTATTCACACTGTCCATTCCTTTTTTTTTTGAGTCAGAGTCTTGCTCTGCCACCCCGGCTACAGTGCAGTGGTGTCACCATAGCTCACTGCAGCCTCAAACTCCTGGGCTCAAGGGATCCTCCTGCCTCAGCCTCCTGAGTAGCTGGGACCACATGCTCACGCCACAACGCTGGGCTAAGTTTTCTATTTTTAGTAGAGACGGGGTCTCGCTCTTGCTCAGGCTGGTCTCGAACCCCTGACTGAGATCAAGCGATCCTCCTGCCTCAGCCTCCCAGAGTGCTGGGATTGTAGGTGTGAGGCGCCGCGCCCGGCCCACGCCGTCCATTCTTGTACACTCTGGTTTATGCCGTCCCCACTTGCCCTTCCCTGTTTATACCTGTCAGTATAGGCTCACACCTCTTTATACTGGCCACGCCTGTTCACACTTGTTCACACTATCCACACTTGTCTGCTAGTCCTGTACACAGTGTTTACACTGGCCACACTGTCACGCTCTGGCCACATCTGTTTTCCCTGTCCGTGCTTGTACATTCCTAGTCATACCTGTCCAGATCTGTTCCTACCTGTCCACACCTATTCACACCTGTCCACACCTGTCTTCCTTCGCAAACATCCATGCTCCTTACCCGTGTTCCCACCTGCCGTCTTAGATATCCACGCCTGCCCGCATGTACTTATTTGTGCTCCTTTACCTGTGGTCCCACCCCGGGCAGAGGGAGCCTGGGTGCCCTGCGGCTGAAGGTGCGCCTGATCGAAGACCGCGTCCTGCCCTCCCGGTACTACCAGCCCCTCCTGGAGCTGCTCATGGACTCTGTGCTGGGGCCAGCGGAGGTGGGCGCATCAGGCAGGCGATTCTACCGGGGGGTGCCGGGGCTCTGGATCCTGGCCTCCCCTGCCTCAGGGAACCCCTTCTGGGCTCTTCTGCTTTGGGGTGCCAGGGTCCCAGGTCACCTCTCCAGCCTCCTGTCCCTGCCCAGGAGGACACTGCCAGCCCCCTGGCTGTGCTGGAGGAGCTGACCTCGGGGGACTGCCGCCAGGACCTTGCCACCAAGCTGGTGAAACTCTTCCTTGGCCGGGGCCTGACCGGGCCCTTCCTGGACTATCTCACCCGGCGCGAGGTGGCTCGGACCAGTGAGTCGTGAACATGACCCCCTGACGTTGCTGCCCAAGGGTGGGACTGCAGGAGGGTCCCCGGGAGAGGAATGGGAAGTCTCAGGCAGAGGGCAGGGGCTCCTTTCTGTATGGGTCCCTGCGCTGTGCACCCCCAGGCAGCTGGGAACACAGTCCCGGGTTCAGACTCTGGTTTTGCTACTCGTGAGCTGTGTGACCTCAGGCAGTTCACTTAACCACTCTGGGCCTCTGTACTGTGAGGAGGGTTGATGTTTTGGGTCTCCCTGATTCTTGAGGCTGGAAAAACCATGACCCCCCACCTTGAGTGAGTGGGGTGAGCTGGGCCTAGCACCCCAAATGCCAGCAGACACTTCCCTCTGTCCTCCCAGCTGACCACAACACCCTCTTCCGGTCTAACTCCCTGGCTTCCAAGTCGATGGAGCAGTTCATGAAGGTGAGTAGGGGAAGGCCTGGGGGCCAGGCGCAGCTTCCTTCCCGGCGCTTACTGGGCCCCCAGTGCTTGGCTCGCTTCAGGGGGCGCCGAGCAGCTTAGCTGCAGTGCTGGTGGCGGGTGCCTGGCCTTGCCCTGAATCGCACCGCGGTAGCGTCCCCCACCCGGCCCGGCCCCTCTCCGAACCTCTCCCTGCACGGTCCCCCCTGCGCCCAGCTCACGGGCATGCCCCGGCCTCGCCCTCAGCCCTGCCTCCTGTGCTGCCCTGCCCCCAGCTCGTGGGCATGCCCTACCTGCACGAGGTCCTGAAGCCGGTGATTGGCCGCGTCTTCGAGGAGAAGAAGTACATGGAGCTGGACCCGTGCAAGATGGACCTGGGCCGCACCAGGTGAGCCAAGCCCAGGGGGGGCGGCCCCGACCCTCCGACAGCCCGCCTTGCCGCCTGGGTCCGTGTGGGGCTGGGCCTGTGCTGACTGCTGCCCCAGCCTGGGGGCGCGGCTGCGCGGCAGCGCCGTGGTTAGGCTCAAAGCCTCACACGTGAGCCCCTAGCTCCTCCAGCTGTGCAGAATAGCAATTACAGGCAGGACCTGAAACTCAGCTCCCTGGGTTCGAATCCCAGCCCTGCCGCTCCTCCTGGCGGACAAATTGCCTTAACATCTGTGCCTCAGTTGTGTCATCTGACACTCAGGCTCACGACACCCGAGTTACACATGCAAAGCCCAGCCCGTGGGGAGGGCCTCGCAGGACCGCTGGGTGAGATCGGGAGAAAGTCATTCCATGCCTTTGTGGGCGCTTGCTAATTTCTTTCCAGAACCTTCTCCCCTCCAGCCAGGACAGGCTTGTTCCCACAGGACCACTGGAGCTGGTTGCTGGGCAGTCCACTGGGCACCATGGTGGGGACAGGAGAGGGTCTTTCCTCGTGCTGCCCACACCTTCTGACCACCCCAGAGGCAGGCATCAGGACCCCTTTTGCAGATGAGGAAACTGGGCGTCAGAGAGGGGAGGTCACTTGCCTAAGGTCACGCAGCCGGGAAGTTGCAAAGCAGGGATTTGATCCCGGGCCCTGAGCAGAAGGGCAGGGTCCATCTGTGAAACTCCAAGCCAAGGGCTTTTCCTGGCACACCTGACAAGCACGGGGAGACTCAGTGGGTCCCCCAGGGGGTGGGGCATCCGGGGACCTGGGCAGGACAGTGCAAAGGCCCCGAGGTGGGAACGTGTGTCTGGCACTGACCAGGGCCTGTGAAATGAGTGATGGGGACAACGGTCACTTTGAGGAGGTGACATTTACCCTGAATGTGGGTGCAAAGCGTCCCAGGCGAAGGGCCCAGCAAGTGCAAAGGCTGTGAGGTGGGAGGAGCTCAGCGTGTCGGGGCAGCAAGGGGCCCGTGGGGGTGCCGGGAGACAGGCTGCGGTGCTAGGGGAGGTGGGTCCCCCCGGGCTCGGCAGGGGCCGTCCGTGGAGGGTCTTGGGGGGCATCTGAGCTGCTCCGCTGGCCCCCGCAGGAGGATCTCCTTCAAGGGTGCGCCCTCAGAGGAGCAGATGCGGGAGACCAGCCTGGGGCTGCTGACGGGCTACCTGGGGGCCATCGTGGACGCCATCGTGGGCTCCGTGGGGCGCTGCCCGCCGGCCATGCGCCTCGCCTTCAAGCAGCTGCGCCGGCGCGTGCAGGAGCGCTTCCCCCAGGCGGAGCTGCAGGTGGGCCAGGGCCCCCGCGGGCGGGGGCGGGGAGGCTGGGGAGGCAGGAGCTTGTCCGGGGTCACGTGGAGAGTCAGGAAAGAGGTGGGGCCAGAACCCAGGCTGCCCCTATTAAAACACTCTGTGTCCTGGCAGAAGTGGGGACAGCGTTCCTGCCAGGGTCTGGGACCCAGGGGTGGTGATGGCGATAATAATAATAAAAATAATAATGATAATGATAATAATAATAGCAGCTATCACTATATGTCGTCTGACCATGGGCTAGACCTTGTTTTAAGTGATTCACGTGTTTGTTACCTCATCTAAGCTTCACGTCCCTCCTGTGAGGTGGATACAGTATCATTCCCATTTTACAGAGGAGGAAACTGAGGCCCGGAGAGGTTAAGTCTCACAGCTAGAAAGGGGTCATGTTAGGATTGGCACTCAGTCAGGCAGGCTGGCTCCTGAGTCTGTCTGTGCTCGTAACAACCAAACCATAGAGTGTGGCCCAAAGTAGGCACTCCCTAAATCCAGCCATGAGAGAGAGAGCGGGAGGGAGAGGAGCTCGGATCTGGTAGACAGTAGGAAACACCCAAAATAAAGTCTAAAAATCAATCCCGGCTCATGCTATTGCTTTTACCAACATTGATAGGAAAGTTGCAAACTCAGGTGCTGGCAGTTTGAGGTAGGTGCGGCCCACGAGCAAAGTAGGCAAGGTGCGGTGCGCTAGGGAACAGTGGCGACTGTGGCAAATTGGGGCTCCCACATCCTGTCTAAAGGGGCCACTCCAGGGGATCATTGCCGTGCAGGAATGGGGACCCAGTATTGCCAGGTCCTCAGAGTTTTGTTTTTTGGTTTTTTTTTAAGCCAACATTCTGGATTTTATGTGAGGTCTCTCAATTTTAAAATGTTGGCACTGGCTGGGCACAGTGGCTCATGCCTATAATCCCAGCACTTTGGGAGACCAAGGCGGGAGGATTGCTTGAGGCCAGGAATTTGAGACCAGCCTGGGCAACACTGTGAGATCCCATCTCTACAAAAAAATTTAAAAATTAGCCGGGTGCACACCTGTAGTCCCAGCTACTTGCGAGGCTGAAGCTGGAGGATCACTTGAGCCCAGGAGTTGGAGGCTGCAGTCAGCTATGATCGTGCTGCCGTACACCAGCCTGGGTGACAGAGCAAGACACTGTCTCTAAAAAGAATAAAATAAAATTCATCTAAAAATCCAACACAAACAGTCTGGCCAATCATTGTATCTCTGTGGTTGGACTGGCCTGTGGGCTGCTGGTTTGAGACTCTCTGGTTTCATGCTCAGCACATCTGCTGAGGCGGCTGTCATCGTCCCCGCTTACAAATGACACTGGGCGAGACTAACTCTTACGCAGTGCTGACGTCACAGAAACGCACACTTGGAGTTCACTTTGCAGAAAGATCTGAGACTTGCTCAATGTTGGGGACGTAACGGCCCAATTCCTTGAGGCTGGGTGAAGAGCTTTTTATTTACGCCAGATCTCTCTCCACGTCCCGTTTACAGATGGGGAAACTGAGGCCCGGAGTGGTAAAACACCTTGGCCGAGGCTATGGACTGAAACCTAGGCCTCCAGACTCCCAGCTGGGGTCCCTCCCCTCCCTTTTTCCTCCCCGGCTGCGGAGTGAGCTCCGGGCCTCCAAACTGGGACGTGACTCGGTTTACACCTGCCTTGGCTGGGCTCTCACCTGGGCAGCCGGCAGAGGTGCTAAGTGGGACACAGCTGTGGCAGGGAGGAGGCAGAAATGGGGGAGGCTGGCTCCCCAGCCAGGCCAGTCTTTGTAGGGGGAGCCAGTGTCGGTAACATCCAAGTGTCCCCAGCTCTCAGCCCCCAAGGTGGGCAGGGAGCAGGGACTTTCTCAGCCCCACGAGGGTGGGTGGGGTCGGGGGCCCCTAGGGAAGCGCCTTTGTCTGCGGCTCTGACACCTGTCCCTCCCGCTCGGAAAGGAGCAAGTTGATGAGCTGCCCTGAAGACTGCAATTACCCTGGACTGCAGCTGGTGGGGGTGTGGTGGCCTTAGGGTAGTTTGGGGTTCCAGATGGAGGGGGAGACCCTCCCTCCAGGTACCCAGCTCCTGCGGGCTCGCTGTCAAGGCCGAGATGCCCCAGGAAGTCGGCACACACCCAGGGGAGGGTACTGTTTCATGTGTGAATACAACCTCTAAATAAACGCAGGAGCACAGTCTAAATAGAGCCAGGCAGGTGTGAGAGGCGGGTGGGGAGCTGGTCTGGGGAGAGCCAGGCGGATGGGGGTGCACCCCCTCCCCGAGTCACGCCTGCTGCAGCTGGGGCAACCAGCCCGCACCCACACGGGGGCACCGCACTCTACAGTTTGTAGAGAGCACAGGCTGGGGGAGGGGGGTCACACACAGCACGGACTCTGGAGCCTGTCAAAGTGGGTTCACTACTACTGTGCCTCAGTTTCCTCATCTGGAAAATGGGAATAATAGTTCCTACCCCATGGGGTTGTTTGAGGATTAAAAGTGACAGTTCAGGCTTAGTTCCTGACACCCATGGGCAAGTGACCTTCCCTCTCTGGGCCTCAGTTGTCTCCTCTGTAAAATGGATATGTAATCCCTCCTAGGGTGAGTGTTAAATAAATGAATGGATAGAGAGGTATCTGGCCTGTTGCTGTTACGATGGTAAATCACAGATCCGGGTCTCCTCTACTCGCCAGCTGTGTGACCTTGGACAAGTCACTTGATGTCTCTGAGCTTCTGCTTCCTCCTCTGTAAAGCGGGAGTGATGCTGGTACCTCCGTCACAGGGCCGTGCCCTTAGCACAGCGCGTGGCACCAAGCGGACTCTGAGGACATTTGGCTAGATCTGATTTTGCAGGATTGGATTGTTACTCCATTTTCCAGGTGGGAAAACTGAGGCCCAGGGAGGAGGAACCTCCTTGGCAGGCTAGTATGGCCTCCCGACCCATCGCCCATCCCACTTCTCCTCACACCACCAATTTCTAGTCCTTGCTGCCTCAGTTTCCCCAGCTGGGAAGTGGGTTTCGCGGGCCCCTCTCACCTGCCGCCCCTCCCGCAGGACGTGAAGTACCTGGCGATAAGCGGCTTTCTCTTCTTGCGATTCTTCGCACCTGCCATCCTCACCCCGAAGTTGTTTGACCTCCGGGACCATCACGCAGACCCTCAGACCAGCCGCTCCCTGCTGCTGCTTGCCAAGGTGCCACCAGCAGTGGGGCCCCTCATCCTGGGTGTTCTTAGCCAGGAAAAAAAATCGTAGTAGGAACAGAGCTGGGAGGCCAGACCCGCAGAAGATCCAAAGGACACCCAGAGAAACCCATGTCTGAAACACCACCATTCGCATTCCATTCTGAGTGTGAAGGCGTTCATTATGCTCTCCAATTTCCTCCTTGAAATGAAAACCCAACCCTTCTAGGAGGAAAGTGGAAAGCAGGATGGCAGTCATTTACACCTTAGTATGAGTTAGATCATCCTATGCAAAGCAGCAACAACTTGAGTTTCTGATGGGCTCTGAGTGTGCATGATAGGATTGGGCAGTCCTGGATGGGGGAGAGTCTGGGCTTGGGAGGGAACAGAGTAAAGGTGCTTGGGGTGCAGATTCCAAAAGGGGGAGGGAGGAACAGATATTGCCCAAGGCAGGCGCTGGTATGAATCTTCTCCTTTCACTGGGCACTGATTTAGGAGCCAGGAATCTGGGGTTGTGTTCTGAGTCCATAGAAGGCCCTCGCCTCTGCAGTGACCTTGGCCTTGGCATCCCTTGCTCCTTTGCTCCAGGCCATACAGAGCATCGGAAACCTGGGCCAGCAGCTGGGCCAGGGCAAGGAGCTGTGGATGGCCCCCCTGCACCCCTTCCTGCTGCAGAGCATCTCACGCGTGCGGGACTTCCTGGACCGGCTGGTGGACGTGGATGGGGATGAGGGTGAGCTCCTGTGGCCCTGCCACATCTGGCTTGCCACCCCACTGGGGGCACTCAGGGCCTCCCTCCCCCACTGGCTTGTCAGCACTGAGAATGTGGACCTGTGGGTCAGCTAGTCAGTCAACTAACATTTCCTGACACCTACTGTGCTAGGCCCCAGAGATGAACAGAGCTCAGGCCCAGTCCTCCAGGGCATCCCAGCCCATGTGGGGATGTGGGTGGCATCATGGCACGGTGCGCATGCAACGGGCAAATGTCTATAATAGGCACCGTTCCAGGTGCTGGGGACACAGCAGTGAACGAGACAGAAGAAAATCTGCTCTCGTAGAGGTTTTATCCAGTGGGGCCCACAGGCTGTTAGCAAGATGAGTAAGCAAATGGTGTGGTGTGTTAGGGAGTTCTGAATGCTAAGGGGAACAAAGAAAGGAGGGTAGGGAATGTTGGGGTGGGGGCGGCAGGTTTAACTTTTCGATAGGGTGGCCAGGAATGGCCTCACTTCGGTGACATCAGAATAAAGACCTGGAGGGGGACAGAGAGAGAGCCAGGTGGATGCTGGGAAGAGTTCCCGGCAGGGAAGAGCACGTGCAAAGGCCCTGAGGTAGGAGCAGAGAAAGCGACAGCGAGGAAGCCAGCGAAGAGTGAATGGGGGGCAAAGGAGTGGGGGGCCGGATCGTGTGGGGCTTCATAGGCTGAGGGGAGAATTTTGGCTTTGACTTGGAGGGAAATGGAGCCACAGGACAGTTTTAGGCAGAAGAGTTGGGGTTGAGTCCATGTCACGATGTGGGGCCCAGGTCATGACATAGTTGGGTCCAAGTCACAGAGGAGCAACCTGTCAAAACGTCGAACATCCCTCTCCACCCCGAGAACCTGCCGGCAGTGGCACAGCTCTGCTCCTCCCTGCCTCAGTGGTACCATTCCCTATTGAGGGAGTGGATCTGAGGTCACTGTGTTCTTACCCCTGCCTCTAGGGGAGCATCCGCAGAGGCCCTGGGCTCGCTGGCAGGACAGGCTGAGCCGGGGCAGGAAGGGCTCACTGGTCCCACCTCTCTTCTCCTGTTTTCCAGAGGCTGGTGCCCCAGCCAGGGCCCTGGTCTCGCCCTCGGTGACAGTTCGCGAAGGCTACCTGCTAAAGCGCAAGGAGGAGCCTGCCAGCCTGGCCACACGCTTCGCCTTCAAGAAGCGCTACTTCTGGCTCAGCGGGGAGACCCTCTCCTACGCCAAGGGTCCCGAGTGGCAGGTGGGGCTCCAGCCCATGCCGGAGGGGTTTGCAGTGGTGGCCTACCTCATAGAGCCACCTCTTTGCAACTAGGGGGAAACTGAGGCCCAGAGTGGGCAAGGCCGCAAGGCGCCGTAGCAACTTCACAAACTCTCAGGACAGGCTTTGCTCACAGCTTCCGGCCAGCGCGGGCATGGGACAGGGACAGGCACACACCTACCCATGCTCGCCTCCACACATCCTTCCGAACGTGCACAGGTAGTGGCCTGGACACGCGTCCCTGATGGGAACGCACGCAGGGCAGGGGCAGCGCTTAACTACCATGCAGTGTTCCCACCCAGATCTGGGCCCGTGGTGTACAGACTCACGTGAAATCGGGTATGTTCACTCAGAGGTTCTGCTGATTAAATAAGTTGATAAATGGGCTTAGAACCACGTCCCACGCACCATATAAGTGGTAGCTGTTATTATTATTAAGAAGGAAACTGGCGCCCAGGGAAGTTAGGTCACTCAAAGAGCGATGGCGGGACCACAGGACTCGGGGAACAGCCGAATGGACAGTCACACAGAGCGCAGATGTAGTATTGAGTGTCCCCGCCCCCGGGGCGCCACCCGATGCACCCATCCAGGGGGAAGCTGTCCCTGGGCCCCCTGCCCGCGCCGCAGCGACGATCGTTTTCCCCAGACGCGCACCTCCATCCCGGTGTCGCACATCCGCGCCGTGGAGCGCGTGGACGAGGGCGCCTTCCAGCTGCCCCACGTGATGCAGGTGGTGACGCAGGACGGCGCGGGGCCGCTGCACACCGCCTACCTCCAGTGCAAGGTGAGGCGCCGCGGGGATGCGGGCGGAGGGCGCGCCCCTCGGTTCCCACCCCGCCTCCTGATCGCCTCGCACCGCCCCCTTGCAGAACGTGAACGAGCTCAGCCAATGGCTGTCAGCCCTGCGCAAGGCCAGCGCCCCCAACCCGGACAAACTGGCCTCCTGCCACCCCGGTGCCTTCCGCAGCGCCCGCTGGACCTGCTGTCTCCAGGCTGAGCGCTCAGGTGAGGGGGCGGGGGGGGGGGGACGGCAGGCTCCGCCCTCCGCACCTGTCAATCAGCGGGTGTCCCACCTCTGCCTGGGCTGGCTGTGCAACCTTGGGCAAGTTACTTAACCTCTCTGTGCCTCCATCGCCTCAACTATGAAATGCAGTTGTGAGGATTAAATGAGTTGATGCACACAAAGCACTTAGAACGCCGCTTGGCACACAGCGCTCATTAAATGTGAGATCCTGTTTTTTAAGTACCCACTCTGTGCCAGCATCCTCTGGTGCACAGACATCGTGTGCTTGCCGTCTAGGAAGACGAGTGCATAACCAGACAATTATAATACAGTGTCGTAAGGGCCACGATGAGGCATTTGAGATTTCAGAGAAAGCCTCTGACCCAGCCAGCCTCAGGATGGGGGATCAAGGAGAGCTTCCTGGAGGAGGTGCTGTTTAAATGCAACCCGGGTAGAGTAGGAGTTAGCAGGGAGGTTGGACTGGAAGGAAGTAGTGGGTTTGAGGAGAGATTTTAGAGACAGAAGGAAGGGGTAGGGCTTGGAGACTGCCAGGCCATGGAGGCTTCTGGAAGCAGGGGCTACTGATGATGCTGTGTGCCTTCAGCTGCCGGTTGCAGCCGTACACACTCAGCTGTGACCCTGGGGGACTGGAGTGACCCGCTAGATCCGGACGCTGAGGCCCAGACGGTGTATCGGCAGCTGCTTCTAGGGCGGGACCAGCTCAGGTGGGTGCCCTCAGCCGCCCCCCTTCACCCTGTGACCCTCTGGGCCAGCCAGGCCCAGGGTGAGGGCTGGGTGTCTACCAAGTCAGGGCTTGGGACGCACCCTCAGGTGGGCCCCGATGCAGAACCTGATCTCGGGATCTTTTAATGCCTGGCGTTCCAGAGCCACAATTCACATAAAATCCCGGCCTCCTGAGCTTGCTATATGACCTTGGATATGTCCCTTCCCCCTCCTGGCCTCAGTGACAGAAATTTGTCTCCTGCCATTATTGAACGGGCTCTGAAGCTGACCTGCCTGGGTTCCAGTCCTGACCTAGCCACTTACTGGCTGTGTGATCTTGAGCAAGTTGCTTAACTTCTCTGTACCTCAGTTTCCTCATCTGGAAAATGGGGCTAATAATACTCCCTACCTCATGGGGTTGTCCTGAGGATCAAGTGAGTGCATACAGGTAGACCACTTTGTAATCAATAAACGGTAATGATTATTACGCTGTGTGATCTTAGGCAAGTTATTTTACCTCCCTGTGTCTCGGTGACCATCTGTATAATGGAGCTAATAGTAACACCTACCTCGTATAAATTTGTCATGATAGTTAAATGAGTTAAAACATGTAAAGGGCTCAGAATAGCATCTGACGCTCTAGAAGTGTTTGCTGTGATGATGATGATGATGATTCACGGGAACCTGCAGTTTCTCCTGCAAGCAGCGGAGAATCTCTCGGGTAGGGAGCAGGACTAGGAATCAGAAACCAGCCTTGTGTTTCTCCCTCTTAACTTCCAGGATGCAGTTCCTGGAGGATTCCAGCATGAACACGACTCTGGAGGCGGACACGGGGAAGGGCTCCAGTGCCACAGAAGGTAAGGCGTTAGGGAAGTCCCTTTTCTTTTCCCTTGCAGACACTTCCCACAGCTTGCCAAGCACACCCCTGTGTCCTCCCACCCGCCCTCCTGTTTCCGGTCCACCACCGGGCTGCGGGGCTGTGTGTGGGGCTCTGGGAGGTTTTAGGATTCTCAGGGCGCAAGCGGAATCTGCAGCCTAAGGTGGCTCCAGGTTAGGGCAGCCTGCCCTGCACTGGCTGAGCCCCCGCGGCCCCCTTGTGTCCCTCCTAGGAGCCTGTCCTGACGTCCGGGCCCGGCAGAGAGCAGCGGCTGCCCTCCTGCTGGAGGTGCTCGCAGACCTGGATCAGGCCCACGAAGAGTTCCAGCTGCAGGAGCAAGCGGGGGCGGCCCCAGGCCACCTCAGGCCCTGAGGAAAAGCCAGAGCCGCCTGGAAGGAGGAGCAGGGAGCCGTGGGACCCTCCTCAGCGTGTCCTGGCCCCGTAATCTCCTCGTGCCTGTCCCCTACCTCTTTGATGCTGTGGCTTGAAGCCTCCAAAGACATGCTTAGTCACGTGTGCCGAGTCCAGAACTCAGGCCATGGAATTCCCTTTGGCAGGGGCCAGCCTTGCCTTGAGATTCACGCTCTGAGTCAGACTGGAGCGGATAGGATAAGGAACCTGACTTATTTGCTGAGCTTGGGACTAGCCTCTACTTACACCAGTGAGGCCAGCCTGGCCCTGAGCTGCTGGATACAGCTATACCTGAACTCCTGATGCCCATGTGGTCCTGTTGTCCCAGACAGGCACAAAATGGGCTCAGCCTTTCCTGTTTTCATGTCTGCCAATCCCTGTAACCTCACTGATCCTTCTGTACCCTGCCCTTGGCCAGGGGCCCTAACCACTGGCTTCCAGAATCAGGCACTAGGAGAACTGAGGCTAGGAGCCCCGTGTGCCAGGCTCAGATCCTTTGAACCTGGAAGACCTTGCCTTTCTTTGAGCCTCAGTTTACCCTGTATGAAATGAGGTGGGAGTGACTCTGATGTGTGGTTTTCAAATTGGATTCTACTGAGGCCACTCAGGAGCCAGGGAGGGTTTCTCAGAATATACGGTCCAAAGCCCACTCACTGGGGTGTCTGCTAGAAATGCGGATTCCTGGGACCCACCCAGCCTCTGACTCCGAATCTGAAGGCACGTAGGGGCAGGATTCAGGGTTTTTAACGGGTTCTAAAGCTGATGTGGGTGAACATGAGGTTTGAGGACCATGGGCCTGGGAAGTGGGCAATTTTATATATTAGGGTTTAGGGTGAGATTTTTGTCGAGAATGACAAAAACATTATTAAATGTCTGGGAACACCCGACTGGCAGAACGGGACTCGTTTCCGGTTTTGTGTGACCAGAGTGTGGGACGAAAACAAACCTACCTGGCAGCCGATCCGGTGGACCGGGGAAGACACAGCGCTATCCCGAGGGTGGCCAGCAGGGGCCGCCTGGAGCTGCAGCATCCGCCACCGCCGCCGGGACATCCTGGCACGTTGCAGAGGCTGATTTGAGGTGTGCGGTTGGATCCTGGGGGCTGTCCCCCTCTTTCCCTAGACAGCACCTGCTCCTCCTCCCTGAGGACAGGGCCTGGAACTCCGAGGTCCCGATGAGTGATCACAGTGTCTCCCAGCCCCTCCTCGTGTTCCCGGAGGCGCCGGGCTCTCCACCCAAGTTCCTTGTTACTTGTAATCGTGCCAGAGAGCAAATGTGTGCATTGCCCCGTGCTCTTGTGAAACAGAAGGACACTCTCACTCCTGCGTTCTTGAAGACTAGGACGAGGAGGCTCTGCTCTGCCCAAACCACGCCCCGCTTCCTGCTCCAGGACTAGAGAATTACGAGGACCCGCCACTCCTCCTTCGGCTGCCGCAGGGAATGCCCCTTCGGCTGCCAGTCTCTTGCAAGCCATCACTCCCCAAGGGGGCAGACTGAAGGCTCCCAGGAACTGAGCCCCCCACCCCCCTCTTGGCAGGATAAGACCAGGCGAGGAGGAGAAAGACCATTTATTTCTCCACCCACAGTGGGACTGGTAGGTTTTCAAAAGAGCAATCGCTGGCATCCCTTTAAATCTTGGCTGACTTCCACCGTGGCAGCCAATCAACAGAGGCGGAGCTGGTGAGTTGCCTGGGCAACAGGCCCCTGGTTGGCCGGAGACTATTAGCCACCCCCCCCTGCCCACTCCCAAGGAAAGGGAAATTCACTCTTTGCTGTCCACTCTGCCTTGTCAACACACCGGCCTGGAACGAGGCCTCCTCCTCTTGCTCCTGAAGCTGGAAGCTCCAGCCTTCAGATCTCAAAGTCGGGAGCGATTTGGTGGAGAGGATGGGGCAGGGAGGGAGGAAAGGGAGCAGGGCCTTTATCTGGGACAGACATAAGGCCTGGGGGTGGGAGGGGAAGGAGGTCAGGGTCCCAGCAGGATGAAGAGACACAGCACAGAATAAGACCCCTCCAGTCCCCGTGTGCCCTGGCCATCCTTTTGGAACTGCTCAGTAATCTGGGGGCTTCTACCCCATGGGCCCACAGTTGCCCAGTTGGTGGGTGGCAGAGATGGGTGGCGGCATGGGGTGGGCGAGGCGTGGGGTGGACTGAGCTTCCCGAGTCCCTTTTTCCCCCAGGAGCCCTGGCAGGCCCCAAGGGCTAGACCTGAGTCCTGTTTGCAGACAAGCCTGTACAGATGTGAGACACACAGATGGGCTCCACATGGGGTATCACGGGGCCTTCTGTCTCTTCTCCCCCAGCTTGGGGACAAGTAGAGGCACGTGGGTGTGCGTGCATGTGTTCGATGGGACACGTGTGTTTGTGTGTGTGGGGGCGGGTCTCTGTCTTTCTGGTAGGGAGGTCCCTGTGGTTTCCGGTACTCTCTCTGTGGCCCTCTCAGGGAGCTACGGGTCGGAGCTGGCTGGCCTGATGTGACATCTCCCATCATCCCAGCTGCCACTGGCCAGATCCCCTGAACATCTCCGGCTCCTTCCCAGCCCTGAACCTGGGCCACCAGGACGCGCCTGGCGGAAGGCGGTGTATGCCGGACCAGGGCAAAGCAGGAGGGAAGGTGGGCAGCGCCGGGCCTCAGGCCTTGGCGGTGGCCTCGGATACGCCCTGGGCTGTGAGCTCCGCCAGCACGTTGTCCAGGTAGCCGGCGTCCGGGTAGCCGTGGCCCGTGAGGTTGGACCCGAACTCGGTCTTGTGATGGATTTCGTTCCAAACGACGGTGTCCGACTCGCCAGTGGTGTTAGACGTGCCGATGGTGAAGATCAGCCTCCTCTCCCAGGCCGTTATGAGCAACCGCAGCACCTGGACGGGGGGCGACAGGCCTGATGGGGCGGAGGTTATAGGCCACCCCGCGTGCCTGGAGCCTGCCGGCCACAGCCTCCCACCGTCTCCTGCCACACTGCGGTCACCCGAGGACTCGGTTTAGCACCTGCCGTGCCCTGCTTGGCCACCTCCTTCCCATTTGTACTTCCTGGACTGACTCCCCCCCAAGCGCCTCCAGTAAAAGTTCTCCCCACGTCATCTACGCCTGTGTTTTCTGCGTGAAGGAAGTACCTCCCGCTGGCGGCCCCTGCTGCATCTGGTTTGGACGCCACACTGTATTAAACAGCCCCTTGCAAATTCGTTGCCCAGATTCAAAAGCCTGAAGATTTCACATGAAAATCTGAACTTCTGGCTTCTTTTGAAAAGCAAGAAGTACAATCAGACAACCTGTAGTTAGTCCCTCTGTGACCACGGGCAAGTGACTGCCCTCTCTGAAGCTTCGTTTCTTTATCTGTAAAACGGGGTCGGGACCTTGACCTCAGCGGGCTGGTGGATGAGATGAGGTGTGTGAGGCAGGTGGTTACGGTCAAGGCTGTCTGGGTGCTGGCGTGGGGAGGAACACGGAGCAGGGACTGGGGAGAATGGGATCGCAGGCCCAGGCTGATGGCAGCTGGGGTCCCTGGCTGGGCCCATCCCCCCGCTGTCACGGTCGGGCACCCACCTTCCGGCCCTTCTCGTTGTTGGGCAGATAGCAGTGGCGCGGGAAGCCTCTTGCAGTGAACTTCTTCCCCGGGTTGGGGTGCTCGGGGCCCTGTTGGCGGGGGACAGTGGGGATTTAAACCACGAACAGGTGGTGGTGGGGGTTCCGGAGGAGTCAGAGAGGAGGAGTGAGGGTCGGGAGTCAGAGGGGCGGCAGGGGGCTCACCTGGATGCCTGTGGGGATATCGTAGACAATGCGGATGGTCTGGGTGTCAGCGAAGCCGGGCAGCGAGTGGGGGATGAGGTGGAACTCCATCTTCCCTGGTGGCTGCGTCCCTGTCTTCTCCCCGTAGATGGCCTTGCAGGTGGGGCACTGCAGGCTGCCATCCTGGGGTGAGAGGGGGCTGGCAGTGAGTGCCCAGGCATCCTGACCCCGCCTGGCCCCCTGCCCACTCCCCACCACTGCCCTGGCCAACCCACCTTGTTGCCGTTGGAGTACATGGCCACGAGGCACAGCAGGTGGTACATGTGGCCGCAGCGGCCCAGGCGGCCTACGAGCTCAGGCCGCACGCCTCTGTGCCGGAGCACACCCTCGTAGCCGGATGCTGTGACCAGCCGCTCCATGCAGATGGTGCAGTCCTTGGAGGGGGGTACAGCGGGGAGACTGAGAACTGGGGAGGGCAGGGCCCCTCCTGGGTCAGCACTGTCCCTCGGTGGGCGCCAGGCCCATAGGCCCCCAGGGGCTGCAGACCATACCCCTCTCTGGCACCCATTTGACAAAGGGAGGGAGGACGCCCCCTCCCATATATTGGATTCTGATATATCACAGAGGAGGAGATGGCTCCCTTGCTCCACACCCCCTCCAGGTGGATTAAAGGCTTAACCATCAAAAGCAAAACTTAAAAACACTCAGTGGAAAAGATGGTGACAATATGACACAAAAACGCAATCATCAAAAGATTGATACATGCGTTCTATTAAACTTAAGCATCTCTGTTCATCAAAGTCCTCGTAAAGAAAGTGAAAAGGCACCCGGAAGGAGAGATCTGCGAGGCCCAGAACCCAGGGGGACAGAGGGCCCTGCCCCGCCCAGGCCTGCACCTCCCCTCGGCTCACCTCGTCAGGTGGGTTTTTCACCTTCTGCATGTACCTTCGAACCACATCCTCGGGGTTCTTACCTGCAGGGACAGAGGGGGTGGGTGTGAGGATACACAGAGTCTACCCCTGAGGGCTTGGCTTAGGATGGGGTCAGGGGTCGGAGGGCTGGGGTCAGGGCTGTTGGGGGTTGCTGGATGTAACAGTTCAGAGAAGGATGGAGATGGGGAAGGGGAGCCGAGATCAGGAGATGGCGGTGAGGTCGCAAGTCCTAAGAACAAGTGGAGTCCAGAGGTCAGAGGAATGCGGTCAAGGCTCAGGGGTGTCAGGTCAGAGGTCAGGGTGGGGGTGGAAGGCGTACTTTTCTTGAGGTGCTTCTTCTTGGTCTTGCGGCACACCCCGGGCACGCCGGGCACGGGCTTGACGTCGCTCTTGCTCACGGGCGGGGGGTGCAGGATGGGCTTGGGGGCCCGCGTCAGGCACACGGGCAGCCCCGCCGCGCAGAGCAGGATCCCGGTCATGCCTGGGGGAGCAGAGGCTGCTAGGGGGCGGGGCGCTGCCAGGCCCCGCCCCACACGCTCTCGGCCCGCCCCCTGACAACCCCCCCACCTCCGCAGTCTGTAAAAGGGGATGTAGGGGCAGGGTGCCCCAAACCCGGCCACCTGGTCATCCCAGCAATCCTGGGCCCTCAGGTGGGTGCCCGCCAGGGTTGAAGCCAGTGGGAAGCCTTCTGTGGGCCCCGCCCACCCCGTGTCTTGGCCCAATGGTAGGGGGCGTTTCCTCCGGGCCCCGCCCACCAGTCCCATCCAAGGGGCGGAGTCACGGGGCTGCTTCCCCGTGGGCCCCTCCCTTCTTTCCCATCCCGGGCTGGACCGCACCTGCCAGGGCCGGGTGGACGGGCCCAGTACCGTTCAAGTTCTTCACCGGGAGCGCGGGGACCCTGCGGGGTGAAAAGAATAGGTCGCAGCTGGAGTCCAGCCACTGACACCACAGCAGGGGACCCTGGTTTGCCTTCTGTCTCTGGCTCCTGGGCACACCCTGACCTCTTTGTGCCTGCCTCTGTCATCTAAGATAACCAGGGAATTCCCTTTCTACTTTGACATCCTATTATGGGGTGTAGCCAGGACCTCTGCCTGGGTTCTAGTGGGGTGCACCCTAGAGTTAGTGCTGACTCTTCCTCACCCCACAGCCGGCCTCCTCCCTAGTCAGAGCACTTTGGCTCTAACAGCTTTCATTGGCCACTATGCCTGAAACTCAATTACTAGTGATTTAGCTATTCTACATCTCTCAAAGTTTGTTATATGGAACACTAATCCCCGTAAAACGTTCCAGGAAAAAAGGATTCAGGGAACAAATAAGTTAGGAAACACTTCACTGTCTCCCTCGCAGAGATTCATGACATAGCTGAGCACATTAAAGGCTCTGATAAGTCCTGCATAAAGACATACAGTTAATCAATAATAACTACACGTTTTCCAAAGACATTTGATGATGAAAAATTTTTTTTCCTTCTGGAATATTTACTGATGTCAGTTCCCGTGACTAAGGCATTGTCCCCTCTTCAAATGAAGAGCCCCTGGCAAAAGGAATCCTGCTTCCCCTCTTCCTCCAGCCCCTCAAAGAGCTCTGGCTTTTGGAGTCAGCCAGGGCTTTCACTGTCTCAGTTCAACCGCTAATCAGCTGGGCGACATGTAGCACGTCTCTCACCTCCCATACGAGGCTGTCTGTACAATGGGGATGATATGGTACCTTCCTTTTGTTTGCCGTGAGGATTCCATAAAATTCTACATGTCAAGGGCCAAGCACAATCCTGGGACCTGATAAAATGCTAAAAGCATTAGCCGTCGCCGTCACCACCATCAGCCGTGTAATCCTGGCTGAGTAATCTCACCTCTCTGCAACTTAGCCCGAGTCCTGGTGTAACCTCTCTCCATGTTAGAGAGGAAACCATGACAGTGTTGCAGTGACAACCTTGAGCCAGGCACTTAACCTCTTGATCTTCGGTTTCTTTATCTGCAAGGTGGGGGTAATACCACCTCGCAGGGGTGTAGGGAGGACTGAATGAGACGGCGTGCTGTGATGTGCAGCGAGCCTGAGCCCTCATTGCTGAGCACTCGTTTATGCAGGGAGCTGGGGTCTTGCTGCTGATGGGCGTGGAACCCCGCCTGGGCAAGATTCGTGGAAGAGAAGGAGTGTTCTGAAATCCAGGGGCAGCCAGAAGGGCTTGGGGGATGTGCCAGGAGCAGGTGCAGGAAGCAGTGGGGGCAGGGACAGCGGGAGAAGGAGCTGCAGCCCCCTTGGCCTGCTCAGGTCTGAACCTATCCAGCGTGGTCTGGTCGCCTGTCCCCTGCAGGCACCGTCGGCACAGGGGAGCTGGCTGGGGAGCATCTTCAAGCACCTGGTCCCCTGGGCAGGCTGGGGCACTGGTGCAGTGGGTCCAGAAACGCAGACATACGCATCCGGGGAACGAGGCACATACACAAATACACAGATACACACGTGTACATGGAGAGGACCATTCAAATGTATACACCCCCAGAACACACTACACACATGTACACATGCAGAGACACACAAACACACACGCCCCAGGGAACACAGCACAGACGCATGCACACACAGGCACACACATACCAGGGAACACCCCTCCTCACACATATACAGACACAGACACACATGTACTTGGGGAACACACCACACACACCAGGGACTGCATATCCTGCACACGTACAGGTAGATACACAGACACACTTTAGGGAACGCACCCTCCATGAACACACACGCATTCAGACACAGACATAGACACACACACACGTGCTCGCCTGGAGAACAGCACCCAAAAACATACACACATATTCCAGAGAACACCTCCCCACAACTACATACGCAGAGACCCACACTCGCGTGGGGAACACACACAGATACACGCAGGTGTACACTGTGAGGACGCTCGGCTGGACGAGACAAGCGTGCTCATGCAGACTGGGTCCGCCCCTGCCGCAGCCGCCCCCTCGCCAGCCACGCAGAGCTGGGGGAAGGCAGACGGCAAGCGTGCGGGAGTGTGCACGCAGCCCTCACTCGTGCCTGGCGCTCCGCAGCGTGCACAAGGACCTGCCATCTGCACATGGGAACACACGGACACACTGATCCACATGGCACATGGGGAACTGCTTGCACACAGTGACTCGCATTGCACACGGAACACAGGAGGACACACTGCTCACACTGCATGCAGGGACACACGGACACGCTAAGCCACGATGCACAGGGGAATCACTCGCACACACTGACTCATCACACGTGGGAACACAAGAGGACGTTCTGACCCTTCTCAGGGCCTGACACCATCCTCCAAGACCTTCCCGGAGGGGGTGGGTATCACCACCCTACCTTCGTCCCTCCCCGTACTTTCATAGGAAAGCACAAAGGCAATTTTTTCCCCTCAAGCTGCTGCTCTTCCCTGCCTGGTCCTTCAGATACCTCTAGTGTAGACACACTAGTTAAGTCTAGGTCTCCCCCACCCCTGTTCCTTCCTTTCTGTCTCATGAGAAGAAAACATCCCTCCTTCTCTCCAGGACTACCTGTAAAATGGGTGGAAAGAAAAATATTTAGCATTCACACCACTACTAGCTTGCTGCCTAGCGGTGGCAGACATCACTAATCCATCCCAGCACTCTCTCAAGCCAAGCAGCTCTCCAGGCAGTATCTATCCATCAGTAAAGCCAGTTTGCTACCCCGGGTCTATACAATGACCAAGGTCTGGTCCAGCTGATGATCCTGGTCTTGCTGAGCCTTTGGCCTGGGAGTAAGGCAGGGGGTACCTAACTGATTAAATCTCAGCTGCCCTAAAATGTCTGGAACCCCTCAAAAACCACAGAGCCCTGGGTTGCAAAAGTCAGTCTTGTTCCTGGCAAGAGGGCTATGAGCAGAGTATCAGGGTGAGGCTTTTTTAAAAAAAATTTACCCCGTGATGGCCCCCAGCCTCTCTCAATCCGCGGGCCTCCTGCGAGAACCTGCATAGCAGAGTTCCCACGACGCCCGAGCGTGGGAGCCGCCCGGCCCCCTTTTGATGTGGGACATGCTGTTTCCTCCGAGTCAGCGAGAACATCCTTCTGCCTGGACAGCGACCGCTGCCCGCGGGCCTCCCGGAAGGGGGGGCTGGCCTTCACCCCTTGCTCTGCCTTCTTGGGGCCCAGCCTGGCAGAGCCTGAGGAATCCCTTAGGCCCCCCTGGAATCTGTTCTGGCCAGCAGGCAGGCCTGGGCCCCGATGCCACACTGTCTCTGCCGCCCTTCCCAGGCCTGTGCCTGATCCTGTCTGTCCTCTGCTCCCAATGCCCCAGTGGCTCACCCCTTGCTCAGTGACATCTGACCTCCTGCTCTGGCCCCGCTGACCCTCCAACCCTCACTTCCTGGGTATTCGTCGCTTGCCCACCCCAGTCCAGCCAGCCGGTCTTCCCACTGCTCCTGTGGAACATTCCCACCCCAGGGCTTTTGCACGTGCTGACCCCTGACCCAGGATCCTCTTCCCCAGATATCCTCATGGCTCCCTCCCTCACTTAGCGCAGGTCTCTGCTCAAATGTCACCTTAACCGAGAGACTTCCTGACCACTTTACTTTAAAGATGCCCCTGTCATTGTCCTTAATTTTTTTCATAGCACTAATCACGACTTGATGTTATAAAGTCTTGAAGCCTGACCAGGCCCTGCGTGATCTGGCCCGTCCCTGCCTCTGCGACCTCATCTGCCACCCTCCATCTCTCCACTGCACACACACCAGCTGTTCCTCTCACACGCGGGCACGGTCCCTTTACAGGCCGTTGCACTTGCTGTGCCCTCCACCTAGAAGGCTCTGCCCCCAGATCCCGAACGGTTGGCTCCCTCAGGTCTCTGCTGAAATGCCACCTCATCAGAGAGCCCTTCCTGGACCACCTGACTCCACCCCAGTACACAGCACATAGTAGATGTTCAGTAAACACTTGTTGCATGAAGGAAGGAGGGAATGGATTTTGGGGGGATGTTCCGAGCAGCTGGCTCAGGAGCACGTGCTGGGGGCACCTTCTACCCACGTTCTCTGCACGCGTTTGAAGTGAGCCTCGAAGCAGGTGTCCTAGAGAGACTTCCTCTGCAGCTCCTGGTCCCTGGAGGTTCTTTGCCGGCATTCGTTCTAAGGTGGGCATGTTAAGGGGGCAGCCTGTCGGAACAGCCCAAGCAAACTTTCTCTAAGAAACTTTCCAGAAACGCTCCCCATTCAACTTGAGGCAGAAGTGCCATGGCGAGGTTTCAAGGAACCAAGACATTTCCGTACAAACCGTCTCAGTGAATGTGCCACGTGGACGCCGGCCACGGGGCGTTCTCAGTGGTCAGTAATTTCGAGTGCTCAGATGCTACGGCAGGACAGCAAAGGCAAGGGCTTCACTGTCTCATCTAATTGTCCCAATAAGTCTGTGACATCCCATTCTACAGACAGGGAAACTGAGGCACAGAGTGAGCATGCCTCTGTGAGGCACAGAGGGGAAGTGACTTGCCAGTAAGTGTTGGGGCCATGATTTGAGCCCAGGACACCCGGCTCCAGGGTCTGTGCTCTTAGCAACACCACACGAAACCAAGCTCTTTCACCATGGCTTAGAGGCTGAGGCAGGAAGCCCCGACTAAGAAAAAAATCTCCCCAGGATTAGTCTGGGAAAGAGGGATGGGGTTGTTTGGCTCTCCTTCCCACCAAGGAAGAGCAAAGACATGTTTCATACCTGCACTGGCTGGAAGGTCATGTCTTTAGGCAGGATGAAATGACACGGGGAGATTTTCCTGCTTGCTGTTCCTCACACTGTTCCCTGCCCTCTTCCATCTGACTACCTCCCTTGCCTGCCCACACTGTCTGTCCACAGTGCATATCTGCCCTTTGAAGGGAGGCTCAAAGATCACTGTCTCCATGAGACCTTTTCT